GAAGTTTGTTTGGGTTGGGTGAGTATTCCTCTGAAAGGAGCTTCTGAAATAAATGCAAAGGAAAAGAGTCGACTATTTTTATAGCATATTTAATATATTTGTATATAACTATGAGTATAGTAGGAACCCTCCACATGCCTCCCCCTTTTCTAAGTTTCTCCCCCTTTTGCCATAGCACTAGTAGAGCCTCATCTGCATGAGTAACGTGCCTGCTGTCAGCCTACGAAAAGATAGTGCTGCTGCTTTCCGAGACAGGTGAGAGGACCCACCTCTCATGCCCGGGGATCCTTTCTGTAGGACTAGCACACACTCTTCAAACCACATACCGCAGTCTGAAAGCATCATTTTGAAATGTAACAAGCACTTTATTGCAACTATTCATTTTGATAAAGTTTATTACCTTAGGCATTACCATTTCTAAAGGATCCCCAAATCATCACTTAGGTGAAATTTAAAAATAACACATTTCTGAGAAATGTTTAGATCCAGTGAACCGTAGCAGGTTTATGGGAGTAGATTTCAAGGTAGCCAAATGAATTTTGACTTTGGTTGTGAATGTGGTGGAGTCAGGAGATTGTAAAATGCCTAGTTCCATTTCGACACTATTGTAAACCTATCTTGCCTATCGTGTGGACACCAAAAGAGACCAATGAGCCTGTTTATTTTCAGAGGTCTAGGAAAATTGCATCAGTGTGAATAGATGTATAGAACTAACCTAAAAGTGACTGGTAATAATATTTTAGAATACAATAATTTCAAGAATTATTCTGGGTGTTTTAAATGTGCTCTGAAATGTTGGCATGTCATTTCAGTGTTTCCATTTGAATTGCTCTTGTAATATTTTTGCACAAAAAGGACTGAGAAAAAGACTACTTTGGTTGAAGAAAAGTATAATTTGGTCTTATTTTAAATGTCTCCTGTGGAAACACTGGGGATGCATTTTGTTGGTATAGTTATTAATTCAGGATATTCAAAACAGTATTGAACAGCTCACAAGAAATTAAGCAAACGTGGACGTTTAAAAATTAAAACTTTCTTTCCGTGTGACTGTTTTTGCATATTTTTCCCCTTGTCGTAATTTAACACTACATTCCTTGTTTTTCGTAAATAAAATAATACTCTGCAGGTTCTGCTTTTGAGTATTTAACAATATTTTGTAAGCTGCCTGTTCCTAGGGAAACGGTCTTTAGTGGAATAGGATAGTCTATGAAGAGACTGTTTAAGTGGAATCCTTCACCACCACCAGCAAACACTGAGGTGCTGCATTAAGTGACAATCAAAATAGTGAGTATTTATGGAAGAATTTAGAAAGTGATTTTAAAGACGCAATTGCTTTGAAAGCAGTTCTCTGGGTTTCTTGAATGAAAATGGCTAAATGTATTTATTTATATTTTAAAATATCTTTTGTGTTGTTTTCTCATCAAAGTGATTTCACAGTGTCATGTATTTAATTTGTGGTTTATTTTGTTTTGCTTCGTGATCCTTTATGTAAAGAACTGACTCTTCTTACCTGGGGCGCAGTCTCTGGCCCTCACGAGGACTGTCCCGGGCCAGTCCCAATCTGTGTCACTTCAGGACGGCAGTGCGGGGCCCAAAGCCAGATGCCCTTGCACTTCCTCCTGTTCTCAACTCAATTAAGAAAAAATAAAGGTAACTCCTTCCGAATCTGCTCTGTATAGCTCCAACCTTTTTCTAGTTTCACTTGCTGCCTTTTCTATTTTATGGGTACTTTTTATATGATTACTTCCCCAACGCAGCCAAAGGCCAGTATGACAGAACCGATGGCATACACTGCCTGTGTTTTGCCCATTTGGGGAAATGTTAGTAAGACAACCAGCACCTTCTAATGGCCGTCACTATCCTATCCATATTAAAATCCATTTAAAGTTCTTAAATATAGGTGGAACAATGTATGTGCACTGTACTCTTCTACAAAAAAATGTTTGCTGTTTTTATATAGTGACTGTTGCTTGGACCTTTAAAAACAAAACAAATCCTTCATATACAGCACTATCCAGTGAAAGTAGTGTTTGAGCCTTTGAAGCCTAGAAACTCTGAGGATGCTTCCCACCTAGTACACGCTGGAACAGAATTTCCACGTTAGGGCTCCCCGAGTGAGTCCCACAGGCCAGGGACAGGGCATACTGTCTAGTTCCCGGGACCCCTTCAAGAATGGTAATGAAAGCATGTCAACCACAAGTTGGATTTCATCATGTAAAAAATGCTTAACTCCGAGGGCTACATTGAAAATGTGATGTTTTCAAATGTATGCTTTTAAATTTCTGAGGAAACAAACTGTGACATCGCTTTAAAAATGACATTCGGATGTTGTGTGTGTGTTGAGTTGGTCTGTGCTGGTGCGACTCGCTGCGGGCAGTGGTGCGGGCAGTGTCGGAGTCAGCCGGAGGGAAGGCTGGACCGCCCCGCGGCTGCTGCACTGTGCACGAGACAAGCAAGCAAAAACAGTTGGCCAGGGAATGTCCTTTTTTTTTAAAATTCATGTCAGCCAGAACAGCTGTAATTCTTAGACCATTCTAGAAAGATTTTGAAATCTTATTTTACTATGGCTTAAGCCAGGGAAGGGCCTCATGTGGCACTTGCACATTCACTCTATGTAGAGACTGAAGCCCAAAGATGAGTCACATTCAGTGTTGTACTGAAACCAGTTAGTGCAAAAAAAAGTTTTATCTTTGTAAATTTTTAATTGTTAACATCAGTTAGTAGCTGTAAAAACATACACCAAATTCTTTCTCATGTTCTGTGTGGTTTCTCGGTGTGCTGCTATTGACATTGCTGTCCTTACTGCTTGGTTCTTGGTTTTAAATAAAAATTAGATGTAGCCCATTTTTCTTAAACTCCCAAAAGGGTAGAGCTATAAATGGCTAATTGACTTTAAGAACACCTACTTTCCTAAAGCAAACATTTAACTGAAATCCAAACTGATTAAAAAAAACGAGACTGACATTTTCTAGGTACTGTCTTCTGCCTAAATCCTACATTGCACAGAGGCAGGAAAGGATAATGAATGGTTTCCATGGTGCTACATTAGGTTCTCTGATGATCTGCATGAGCTGAGTTTGGAAGTACAATATTATATAAAATGTGGATCATTCTGTTACCAACTTACTGTTGACTGCCATTTCAATCTGGTGTTACAGTTGCTTACCCTTGTTTTTCAGAGCTGTCCTTTGAGAAGAGGTAAAATGTCTTATTAGCCTACCTCCACTCAGGCCTCTTGGTATCTGATCATTTCTCCAGGTTATGATGTGCATAGTTTTTAAAACTACATGTCCTATTATAATGCTCTTTCCCACAGACTTTTGTAATGTTTTCAGAACCGAAAATCATAGCAAAAGAGCCAAGCAGTAGCATTGGTTGTTGTTTTTTTTTTTTTGTAAATGTAAAAATAATTAGATTCAGACTTTGTTTCCTTATTCAATTTTAAAAATAAAAAATACCTCAGTGCTATGTTTTTCAGTATCACCTGCATTTCTCAAAAAATAACACTTGCTTTATGTGGCACATAACTTACACGAATCACATTATTTTGCATTTTAAAGGACAACTATTAAATATTTTAAAATCAGTAACATTTTCTTTTCTTATATTCAGCAATGGAGTCTTAACAGTATTCGCGATTTTTACCTTGTACCTTCAAGACTGAGCTACCAAATTCTGTGAGTAGTCATGTCCTGTTAGAAGGTTGTGGTGCCTCAGAGAGCTGCGCTGTTATTCAAGGACCGTTCCCGGCTCGTTCTTGGGCCAGGCTGTCTGCCCTGCCGGGCCGCGCTGTGATGGTACCAGCTACCGCCTAAACAGGGATCATCCAGTCTCTTCTTGCAGAAGACAAAATGTAATTACTCGTCGGCCCTGTTTCTAATCAGCTGAGGCTGTCCTAGGGGAGTTAATGGTGTATTCTGGGGTCTTGCCTGAAATTTCTCTGAAGTATTTTTACACATGGGCCTTGTGTTTACGACCCTATAATGGCCCTTGTTATGGTGGCTAGAGAACTCCTTAAGAGTTTCCAAAAATGACTTTTTCATCAATATGTGCTGTTGCTACTTTTAAGAGGCTATTAAATAGCAGGGCTACTGCGCATGGGAACAGAACCGAGGAGGCCGGGAGAAGTGGTGATGCTGTTTGGATAGAATCATTCATAGTTAGACTGACATGACTGTGATTACTGAAGTTAGTGTGATAAAAAGACTGGTGGTTATGGGCTCTAGAATGAAACTGGTCTGACGCACTGCTCTACCATACAACTTTTTTTTTTTTAACCTTGTTAGTAGCTACTATGTCCCAGAGCGATCTGAGGTAGTTAAACACAGGCTCAGAAGATGCCTGGCTCCTGTTTTTTAACATCAACTTTAGAAACTGGTCTATAAATATTACTACTACTTTGATAAATTACTGTTACAAACTCACTTATAAAATGCACGAGGGAAAACAAGCTCTGGTCATACCACTTTTATTTACACTGTATCTATGTTACATTGTTTATTCAATATAGAAAAAATATGAATACACTCATAGTATTCTCTTTTAATTTAGTAATTCCACATTGTCAAATATTGACTGTTTTTATATTGGGTGTCCTACCCAATTAAAAAAAAAAAGGAGGGAGAATGGACCTGGCAAACAATTCTCATCATAACAGTAATACATTATTCATTCTTTAAAAAAAAAAAAAAAAAGTTTTAAAAGACTTTGTGATTACACTGCTTTCTGGCTTAAGGAACTACTTTAAAAGCTAAAAATTCATTCCTCCCAAGAAAACTTTTAAGGCAAATCACTCAGTGATCCAGGAGAAAACAGATCTTCGTCATTAAAGGGGTTGGTGCTAAAAGAAAATAAAGGATAGACCCCATTGTACAGTGGTTCTATGTATCATTGTATCGTTGTCCTACCAGAAAACCCAAAAATATGAAAAAAAAAAAAAAAAAAACAGCAACCATATGAACATAATTGTGCTGGAGAAAAGAAAAACCCACACTTAGATATCAGGTTTCTTAAAAATCCATGTTGCAAATAGAATCAATGATTACTTCTTTTGGACATAATACTTTCATTAAATGGGACAAACTCGCAAATCAATGCTACAAAATACAGTCTTTTCCGTCACTTTTAGTTATAATGTACACTATGTACATAAACAGTTACCTATCTTAAAAGAAATACAAACGAGCAAACGGCTTGTTAAAAACCAGAATCGGGACTTATAAACAGTGCAGAAAATGCAAAGGCCAAAAATACGATGCCTCCTATGATTGTCACTGTAAGAGAAGAAAAAAAAAGTGAAATAAGGCAAAATTCCTCTATGAGGGAGCTCAGATGTTGCCCATTAGTCTTCCAATCTCTTGAACTAACCTTGAAAATAAACTAGAAACACTCAAACCACACTTCCACAGCAGAGAATACTACATACGCCTGACTGGGCAGTCATCATCCATTGCTTCTCCAGCACTGTTTCCAGAAACGACAATTCTATTAAAATTGAGACAGTGCTGAGAAGCAGCAATAGAACTCTAACTCCTCTCAAAACCCAGTTATGAAAGAAAATGTTCAACAGCCTCTGACAAGCAAGAAGACTTTTTCTATTCCATTATTAGGCCCTTTCAGCTACACAGGAACTCTTCAGTGGAATCCATAAACCGTCTCCACCTATGAACCCCAATCTTACAAAACACACTAGGAAGGCCTGGAAGTTTTATTTCCCACGTGATGATTTTTTTTTTTACTTAAATACATTGATAAAAAGTGACTATAAATGCGATAAGGCTTTTAGATGAATTTGTATTTTACTAAATCTATGCATGTAAAAAACAGTCCATGTGTCCCAACAGAAGCGGCAATGAACTAGACCTCTAGGAGATCATCACCGCAGAGACCAAGGGTACTCCAGAAGTAAAAACTTAAACTCCCCTTTCTCTCTCAGTAATTCTGGAAGTTAAAACAAATGGTATTGTCTTTGAAATTTAATAAATAAAAAGGGGTGCCTGAATGGCTCCCAATTGAGCATCTGATTCTTGATCTCTGGGTGAGTTCAAGCCCCGAGTTGAGAGCTCCACGCTGGGTGTGGAGCCTACTTAAAAAAGAATAAAAAACCAAAGACTCACCAGTTCTGACAGAGATTTTCTGTGCGATCATTCTTCCTCCAATCACTGCCAATCCGGTGCATAAGCAGTGGCCCACTGTCCCGCCCACTGCTACACCGTACGGGTCCTGGAAGCAAGTATAAGTAATGCTCATTTGAAAGCAGCTGAAATGGTTACCTGAGAACGGGTTGTCACTGAAAATGGAGACCACCACCACAGCCTAAAAATAGCTCCACGAGTTCAAGTGTATCATTTATGAAAAGTGTAATAGCTGCTCGAAGGGATATGTTCCAGCTACATCTAGGAATAGAGCTACAAGCGGCAGAAATGTTTCTGACATCGAAATAGCGCTAATACAGCCTTTCGGCCACTGCCGCACCTCATTCATGGCGCTACCGTGACCAGTGTCACGGCGCTACAGCTCTTCAGTGACCAGTGCTGATGGGACTCCACCCAGACCTCTCCCCCCTCGGGTGCTGTCTGCTATTCTGAGGAGGCGAGGCGAGGCGAACCCTTACAGCACAGAGCCTGCCTGCCTTCCCTACTGTGTCCTCAGTGCTTTAACTCAGCGCCAGGAACATCGTATTCATTCAGTCAATGCTTGCTTCCAGCACAACGTGGAGGTGCTCAGACTGGGAAGACCAGCCAGACCTTTCCAGAAACACCAGCCCTGAAGAACGAGCAGGAAGATTTGACTTTGTTTTGTGGAAGAGAGACCATACTAGAAGGCAACAGGCCACTGATAAGAGAGGACTGCAGACCACGTTAACATAGAACATAACATGGTAGAGGTCAGCTCGTGAAGGACTCTATCTAAAAGCTTAGAATTTGGACTTTTTTAAAAGATTTTATTTATTTGACAGAGATCACAAATAGGCAGAGAGGCAGGCTGGCGGTCGGGGAGGAGGCTCCCCGCCGAGCAGAGAGCCCAATGCGGGGCTCGATCCCAGGACCCCAGGATCATGACCGGGGCCAAAGGGAGAGGCTTTATCCCACTAAGCCACCCAGGCGTCCCAGAATTTGGACTTTTTAACACACTGGTTGTTTTTTAGCCAGAGAGTCACAGAACAGGTTTATGCTTTAGAAGTCTAGTGCAGAGAGTGATCTGGAAGGGAACTAGAAGAGAACAAAATTAAAGGTAAGGTGGTCAAGGGAGATGCTATCGCTTGGACTGGGAAGGGAGACTGTAGGCAGAGAAAACCAGGTTCTGGGAATTTTAGGAGGCATAAGTGATCTACCTTAGTGATAAGGGAGTGTTAGGTGTTACGGATGTCAGGCCTGATTTTTCTCTTCCTTATTTCTCACCCACAATTCTCTGGATGAATTACAGTACTACCAGCATGACTTAAAAAGTTAGTGGAAGGGGGGTGCCTGAGTGGCTCAGTGGGTTAAGCCTCTGCCTTCGGCTCGGGTCATGATTCCAGGGTCCTGGGATCGAGCCCCGCATCGGGCTCTCTGCTCAGCAGGGCCTGCTTCCTCCTCTCTCTCTGCCTGCCTCTCTGCCTACTTGTGATCTCTGTCTGTCAAATAAATAAATAAAATCTTTAAAAAAAAAATTAGTGGAAGGAATGAAGAAGGGGTTTATGGGTGCTGACAGGAGTTAGAGTGGAGAGGAGAGGTTCAGGAGTCAGTTGAGTTCAACGGTGAGTAAACTAAGAGAATGACCCTGAGAGCGAATACAGCCAAAGGAAAGCAGCCGTGAGGGGAGGACAGTGGCAGAGCGGCCCCAAGAAGCCGGCGGGAGGCAGCCAGGCACTGAGCCTCCCGAGATGAGCCCCCACCGTGGGGCCGCCCCGCCGCTGCAGGGAACACTCAGCCCCACGTCCACAGAGCCGGTGGGGTCAGACGCTGGGGGCCAGTGGGTTTAGAGGGCAAGAAAATGGACCAACACCTGTTTCCCCTCAGAGCCAAGCCCATGAGACTGGGGGGAGAGGAGAGAGAGGGAGGCATCTGAAGAGAAGTGGAATTGAGGGAAGAGGCAAAACTCTTACATGAGAAAAACTCACGCATGCCAAAATGCTCACAAAATTGGGCTGGGAGAAAGGCAAAGATTTCAGTAACCCAGTGGGGACATGGAGTGGGGCGGGGATGTGGAATGCAGCAGGGACAGCACTGCCACTGAGGGGGCGGGGGGGGTTAGCCGTGCTCCCCCGTGAAGTGGGGGGCAGCAGGGCGGGACTGCGGCGCTCATATTCTGCACATTTGCACTTCTCAGCTGGCATTCTCAGATGGGGCCATTCTATTGGAAAGTGATGCTTGGAAAATCGACAGATTAAGTACAATTAAACAGTTTCTTTGATACAGAAGTTTTCAGACTTTGTCATTTGCAAAGTTTATTTGACCCAGGAACCTCAGAACCTTATCCCCCCTTTTTTTTTTCAAGCTTAGTACCTAATTAACATCTCAAAGGATGCAGTGTTGGAAGCAGAAATAAAGTTCAGATTAAAATGAACTGAACTGCATTTTGGCATGGTTTATATAAAAAATTACCAAAAAAAGTTAGGAATGTTAAGGGAACAAAAACAGAACACCCGTATGTCTGCTCCTGAAGAGCTCACTACGTGTCCCCTCGGTGCTGGTGGCAGGGCAGGTGGCTGACGGCGCTGTGGCAGGGCCCCTGCGTGCCTTCTCTGCTTCATCCACACAACCACCCCACGAAGTGGAGAAACGCCCCACCTTCAGACCAAACAGGGCGCAGTAACCTGGTCACACAGCGGAAGACGCAAGCCTGCTCAGCACGCGCCAGGCTGCCAGATACGGTGGGACCGAGGGAACACAGGCACAGCGGACCCGGACCTTTCATAAGGCCCTCTGTGCCACACAGACGACACTGTTAAGAAAAATGCAGTGATTTCTTCCATCATGACAGCCCACCACCACCACCAAAAGCTCACTTACTTTCACGACCCAATCCTGGCCATCTGAAAGCCAATAAAAAAGGCTAGAGATCAAAAAAATACAGGGCACGGCCATTATGGGGACATTTTCCAAGAAAGTTTTAAAATACAGGACTCGAGTGAAAAACTGAGTTTTTTTTTAAATACAGCATTTTTTTGCTTCTGGCCCAGCCTGACTTCAGCCCCGTCCTGGCCTTTAGTTCTTGTCTGAAACTGGGGCCGACGTTACAGAACTTATTCTTTTACGGCAGGTGTTCCCTAGGAGCTAAGGACACCTTCAAATCAAGCTTGTTATCTAAATCCTACCATTGGGTAAAAAGTGTAACTTAACAGATTAAAAAAAAGACCCTGTACCCACTAAGACCAAGAAGAGACGGAGAAGGAGCAGCAGCGCCACTTTCCGCCACCACCTCCCAGGACATCTTAATAAACCAGTATGAACAGAAAGATGCCTCATGTGAAACGAATTCCTCCCAGAAGAAAGATTAAAATTTTAAAAACAACCCCCCCCAAGCTATCTTTTAAATAAGTGGCATCTGACGACTACAAGCAAGATCTAGAAGGAAACGCGAGAAGGCAGAGAGCCTCAGCTTCCAGTCCTTGCCCCTGCTACCGACTGGCTTATCTTTGGACAAGTCGCCCAGTGTCTGCCTCAGCTTCTGCATCTTTAGAGCAAAGGAGAGGACAGTGATCAGAATCTCTTCTAGTTGAGCACTCAGGCCTTAGTATTCGGGGACTCAGATCTGCCAAACTCTACATCCAGAAGCAAGTCAAGTGTAACCGCACTCGCCAGAGACAAGCACTGGGAACGTCTCAAGCTCCCATCTTCTGCTCACCGAGGAGTGGATATTCCCAGAACTTCGTAAATAAACGAACTAACTTCCCCACGCTGGACAGTTAGGCTGTTGTTAATGTTCTACTGAGTGGTATCTTGTAGAGCGACCCCCGCAACACTACAGGTCTAAGGAGAGACAAAACCAAGTCAAGGCAACTGCCCCAGTATCATTCCGGCAAAACCGAAGGGAAGAGGATCCACAAGAGAAATGTAAAGACGCCAGTTCCGCCGGGACACAGAATGCCATCTGATGCAGAAATGGGACACCGACATTTTAAAGAGAATCAGGATGATAGGTCTGAAACAGTCCAGCACACGAAGCAGTCCCTCGGCCCGGACTGACCGTCCAGGGTCCTCTGGAGAAAGGAACAGCATTACGCTTAGTCTATTAATCCAGAAGTGGCCATTTCTCAAGCATCACTCACCTCTCTGGCTGCCAGAACGATTGTCGTTAGTTGCGAGCGATCACCCCACTCTGCTAAGAATGTCAACGTCAGAGCCTGAACAAAGATGGGTGAGATAAAATGCAGCCATCTTTTCGGAGGTATCGTCGTGCTGGCTCCCGTTTCAACATCGCCTGGTCCGTTTAAGAGCTTGGTTCGTTGAAACTAAATTTTTAAAAGGAGAGAGAGAGAGAGGTAGATTAATCCCAGGAAGCAAATCAAAATAGTACAAAATTACTTAATCCTTCTTTTAAAAAGTGTTTAAATTTTATGGACTCTGCTCCCAGAAACTAAAATGATGTGACCCCAGACTTTTCTTCTGAACCTCTCACACACGACGACAAACACTATACTCTCAATTCTCCCACTCCTCTGCCACAAAATCAGGATTTACTGCTCACTCACCCTCCTGAACGCTGTGGGAAGACACGTAACATAGAAAGCATAGTTCCTGCTTCGCGGGAGCTTATCATCGCGAAGGGAGGAGCCTGCCCACACGAGGTCGGCACTCTGCCCAGCGTCCCTGCCCACCACAGCCCCACTCGCCCCGAGTCCCATCACGGACAGCTCTGAGATCGCAAACCGGGCGCGACAAGCCATTTCTGGGTGGCCCGCACACATCACACGGGGAGGAACGGCCACTGACGAACCTCAGGACAGTGAGGGTGCTTAGCTGAGTGCTTTTTTGGTCCAGATACTTTATACTGCCATCACTTACTTCCTCGTCTTTTTTCTTTAATTCCGCTTGAACTTCTTCCAGTTCCTCTTGACCTTCATCTGGACTCATCTTCAAGCCTTCTCGAAGCATTCTAATGCCAAAAATGGCAAATAACGCCGTGGAAACATAGTACGTATACACCCTGGGGATGACGGTGGTGGCGTAGCCGAACAGAACTGGAAGAAAACGCAGCAGTGTGTCCTGTGAACGAGCATGTGGCACAACCAACCCACGCAGTCGTGCACTTCAGGAATCCTAACTCAGCCCCGGTCTCGGGGCGCCTGGGTGGCTCAGGTCACGACCGCAGGGTCCGGGGACCAAGCCCCGTGTCTGCTCCTGCTCAGCGGCAGAGCTGGCTTGAGATTCTCTCTCCCTCTCCTCCTCCCCGACTCACACACACTCTCTCTTTCAAATAAATAAGTCTTAACAAACCCGAACTTTGTTCTAAAGGAAAATGGTTCAAATGAGAAGCTAATCTAATATGTATTAAACCTTAAATAATTCCACTTCTTTCCCTCCACCAATTCTGGATGCTTCGATCAAGCCAGTAGTCTAATACAATGAAATCAGCGGTCCGGTCCGGCTGAAGATGGCACGTCTTCCACGGGGAGACGATGAGCTCCTCTCCAGGCACACTCAGCCAGGTACTGGCTTGCCACGTGGCACGCAGGGTACAGTACTTCAGGGAGAAAGTTAACGCTGATGCCCTCTAAGGATCCTGGGATCCTGTAACCTGGAAGCTGGATACCACCTTCATATGTAAGTGGTATTTCTTCACCACAGTTCTTTAAATTATAAACTTCTATAGTGAAACATCACGACAAGATTCTCATGGTAGGTATGACTCCAACTCTGCTCCTTTTGAACTACTTAATTAGATCTTATAAAAGAAAATTCCTATACATATACTGAAATAACATTTACAGCAGACTCAAATTTATTCAGTACCACTCTTTCCTATCGTTAAAAAGAGGACAACTGTAGAAGTTATACAAAAAAACTATACTTGGAACCATATCAAGAGCCCAGATCCCAATTATGAAACACAATTATACCAGTATTATCAGTTCAGTATTTAAAATTTAAAAACTATGGAAAGGCCAGAGGATGTTTCCATACACATAATTAATGCAATTACTTTTTTTAAAGATTTTATTTATTTGACAGAGACACAGCAAGAGAGGGAGCACAAGCAGGGGGAGTGGGAGAGGGAGAAACAGGCTCTCCGCTAAGCATGGAGCCCAAGGCGGGGCTCGATCCCAGGACCCTGGGATCATGACCTGAGCCGAAGGCAGAGGCTTTAACCGACTGAGCCACCCAGGTGCCCTAAATGCAATTACACTCTACTTCACACGCTCTTTTTATAAAATGAGGACAACACTTAAAATCTGCCTGAACACTAAATGTATAACCACATCAAATGTATTCCCAGTGCACTACATGACAAAATTGAAAATTTTTAAATCCTGTTTAGAAAGACATCAAATCTATGCTTATGTGTACATGTTTTAATTTTATGTATGAACATGTATATCTGCATAGATGTGTGTGCACATACACGAGACATCAATTTTCTAGCTCCGTCCACTGAAACAAGGCCACAAAGCAAAGACACCTCAGGAACAAGGCCACTTCACAGGCAGACCCTGGTTTCTCATGGTGTTCCTCTGGAAAAGGCCCCTCAGGCAAACAGCTAACTCCAGGGCTGGGCAGACGGGCATAAGCTGCACCTGCACTACCTCGTTAGATGGGAAAACAAGTGTGAGCAAAACCAACAGATGGGAGCACGACACGAGGACCAGGAGCCGGCCTGCAGGGGTTCCCAGCAGTCAGATCTGGGACAATTTAAGCATATAGTTAAGTCATTAAAACCCACTGAAAATGTGAATTCCCCAGTTTATTACTAACAACACACAGACAAGCCCATGGGATAGGAAGGAGCTCTTAGCGCAGTGTGCTGGGGCCCGTGGGAAACGGTGACGGGGCCCCAGCACGAGAAAGCCACCATTCTGCAGTCATCAAGGGAACGCTGACATCATGTGAGAATCAGCCAAACAGCGGGACAGAGTATCCGTATTGTCTTACAGTGTCCCCTTAAAGACTGCATATTATTTGCAGGGAAGAAGATGCAAGAGAAATCCTGACATCAGTGAGGGACAGAGGGACATCATGTTCTCCCAGACGTGATACTCTGAAGGGACAAACATCTCCTACGCCGTCTTCTGGTCAAGAATACACAATCTTAAAGCAATCACGAGAAAACAGACAAACACAAGATGAGAAATCCATGAGAAGGGGAGGGGGTGTATTCTTTAAAAAATATAGTAATATTGTAAAACATGAGAAAAGGCTATGGAAGTATTTCAGATTAAAAGACTAAAAAGAAGCAAATGTAATACCTTCCCTAGACTCGCTCCTCTACAGGAGGGGAAAAACTGCTATAGTTTTAGGTCGGCTGACTAACACAGGGCTGGTAAAACATGCACCACTCTATCCATGTATATAAATCTATATATAAATTAAGTGTATATGTACATTCTTACCTACAAAGCATGTATAGGTCACGTATATTTACAAATATATAAAGCATGTACATACATACACATGCATAATTTTATTTAGATATGGACAGGTCACAAACACTAAAGCAAATGAGGTAAAATGTTAACAGTGAATCTGGATAAAAGGTACATAGGTGTTTGTACTGTTTTATTTATGCAACTCTGTAAGTTTAAAATAGTTTCCATAAAAGCTTTAAATTTAAAAATAGAATGAGCAAGCCTCTTTAAGTCTCTTAAACTCCGTTTTCCTTCTATCTTCAGATAATCTAAAAAACAAAACAAAACAAAAAAACCTTGATACTTACAGACACTTTCAACGCCATCTTTTCTGCCTCACATCTCCAGAGAAAGCAGAAAACTACCTGGCGTTCTAACTTTTTCTTCTTCTGGTTACTGTCCTTGTATTTCCTCCTGCTTTGGAAACTTTCCCTCAGACACTCAAGCACTTTTGCTCTGGGAACAGGGAGACGTTACTTGTCTTTAAGCAAGGACTTTGCAACAAGTCAGAACAGAGCTGCACATCCTGGTCCTTCTACACCTTGGCGATGTGGAAGTTCCCAGAAAAATCCCCTGGAGCAGAGACAAGAGATCTGGGACTCGCCGACTTTCAGGTAATTAAGCGGAGAACACTCCACATAAGGACACTGTGCGAAGCGGGGGGAAGATAGGCCAGGAATAAAACTGGGGGGAACAGGAATATTCAATGGCACAAAATTTTCCCCCAGAGAGACAGAAACAATAATTATCCTGTAAACACAGGGCGACACGCGAGCCAAGAGAATAAAAAGGTGGGAGCGGCCAGGAATGTGGCGTGAGGGGCTCACGGAAATGCAAACTGGACTCTAACGAGGAAAGCGGATCACTGAAGCCTTTCCGAGGGTGTCAGAAGCAGAAATCAGATGACGCGTGAAGGAATGAGATGGGCGAAAGGCGAGAAGGGAGCAGCAATGAAACCCCGAAGCACACAGGACTATACTGCATCGTGGAAGGGCCGAGATCGGCCGGGTGAACCCCGCCGCGAAGTGAGGGGCCTGCCTAGCACTGAGCCCTCCAGCAGCGTCTGAGAGAGACAAGACCTACAAGTGCAAGCTCCAAACCGGGACTGACCCAGGGACAGACAAAGAATTCCCAAGGGGCCACGATGACTACTTTCTCAAGGACTTCCCCGAAGTCTGACTTCTCTTTCCTAAAACTCATCTGCCTGAAATGTGCTTCTGGTTAAGGAGTCAGTCAGGCTCCCCTTTCTCTCATCCCTTCTTCGCTTCCCTTCTGTCCCCTTTGTGCCCAGCTTTCTATGGTGCATTTCCCCACAGTATGGAAAAATATAGACCCTCGGACAGCAAAGAGGGGGGCCTAAAACCACTGGGGTCCTCAATCAAGGCATCATAAACCAGACACGAGGCTTTGGGGCTTCCCTCTCTTATGCAAGTTTCTGGTAAGGTCATGACATCAGAAATAATGGCATTATGTTTACTGGAACTAACGCTCATGGCATTAGAAATACGGAGTTTCAGCCTTGGCAGGAATGACAGTTTTCACTGCGAGATCCTGCCTCTTTCATTCCCCAGCCACTGCAAACGAATGCCTTTTCCCTAAGGCAGAGTCTTGTTACCACAAAGCAAAGAGAGCATCAGAAGGCAACACCAAAGACTGTGGGGTGTTCTCTCGGCGCAGTGGCACTCTCCAAGCAGGCTGCCGTGCCTAATCCCACCCCCACTATCCGTTTTAGAAGAATTCTAAAGCAGATGGTTGTCATGAGATGTGTATCACATTCACTTCACTTCAAAAACCAACTCAAATGGGGCGCCTGGGTGGCTCAGTGGGTTAAGCCTCTGCCTTCGGCTCAGGTCATGATCCCAGGGTCCTGGGATCGAGGCCCGCATCGGGCTCTCTGCTCAGCGGGGAGCCTGCTTCCCTCTCTCTCTCTGCCTGCCTCTCTGTCTACTTGTGATCTCTGTCAAATAAATAAATAAAATCTTTAAAAAAAACCCAAAAACCAACTCAAATGACTTCAGACCGAAAGCAAGCTCAGCCTGGATGATTTACTGTTCACCTATTAGAGCCACCACGGCAGGTCAGGTGGTGGACCGTTTCCGCAAACTGAACGACCTAACTCTGCAGCTCCAAGGCCTGGCAAAATGTATTCAAAATATATGATGTGAAGGGCGCCTGGGTGGCTCAGTGGGTTAAAGCCTCTGCCTTCAGCTCAGGTCATGATCCCAGGGTCCTGGGATCAAGCCCCACATTGGGCTCTCTGCTTGGTGGAGAGCCTGCTTCCCCCCCACCCCGCGCCTGCCTCTCTGCCTACTTGTGATCTCTCTGTCGAATAAATAAATTAAAAAATATATATATGATGTGATACAGTTTTTAAACAAAACCCCTTATTGGCAGAAGTACATTGAAATGAACAATATTTCCATTTTCTCGATCATTTCTAAATACAGCCAGTTAAACAAGGTACTTCTAAGGAAAAGACTAACGTGTATAAGAAGAGTCATTTGATAAATTTCAGAGAAACTCTTTTTGGTATACTTGATGGTTTCCAATTCTCTGCTTTCAACAAAATCAAGAGCAGTATTTAAAATCTTAGTGTTATTGCCAGCTGGTAAACCATT